GACTTCTCCCAGCTCACAGCTGGAAGGCTTGCTCTCCTGCAGAAGCCCTGCCTCTGCTCCCCGTGGCTAGTGCCTGCCATGCCCACCTGGCCCCGCCCCCTCCCCAACTCAGCCAGACTTCAGTCCCCAAGCACACACACTGCCCAGCACTATCACAGCTGTCATCTAACTTCTATTAAATTGCTAATGCCAATCTCCCTTCCACAATGGTAAGCTCTACGACAGGCCCATATCTGCTCTTTGCTTCCCAGAGCTCAGAGCCACGCCCAGCCTGTGCTGGGTGCTCAGTGAATGTCCCTGGAATGGAGGGGTGACCTAGGGTGCAGAGAAAGAGGAGGGTAAGACAGACTTTGCAGAAGGATGAGGCTGGGGACAGACTTGCTGGCCTCCAGTGTGTCCTGGGTCCTGGTGGGAGCAAAGGTGAGAGGGGTGTGGGCAGTAGCGCAGCCACCCTTGGCCGGAGCCCCACATTTCTCCCTTGTGCTGCTCTAGCTCTAGACAGGGCCCTTCTCCAGACCCGCCAACACCTGAGTAGCAACCCCACCTTAAATCCCCTCCGGCTCGGCCGGGATGGTTCACCTGAGCATCAACCCATGAACCAGGAGGTCAGGGTTCGATTCGTAATCAGGGCACATGCCGGGTTGTGGGCTCCATCCCCAGTACGGGGCATGTAAGAGGCAACCAATCAATGATTCTCTCATCACTGATGTTTCTCTCTCTCCCTCTCCCTTCCTCCCTGGAAAAACAAACAAACAAGAAAACCCACATATTAACCCTCTGCTTAGAATACCTGGGACATGTGGAAGTGGCCAGGGAGGGGATGCTTCTGCTCTTTTCCTAACCTCTAGGTCAGCAACAAGCCAGCGAGTTTATCCACATTTGCTATATTCTAGGCAATTTGCCAGACATAGGCTGTGGGTGAGTAAGGGAATAGCAAGCACAAGCCTCGCTCCCAAACAGCTCACAGTCCAACAGGGATGACAAAATGAGCCTGGCCCCCCGGGCAGAGCACTCCAGGCCGTCCCTGCAGCAGGCCCGCCACACCTACCAGGAGTCCCGGGGGGGACAAGTCAGGCCCACAGACACCAAGCCGCCAGCAGGCCCCAGGCCCCGTGGGACACTCCCAGAGCAGCCGCCCCCCGTCTGCGCCGTCCGGTTCACGGCAGAGACACTGCGTATTTGGGCCTGAGTTCTGTCACCTGTAAAATGGGCATCACCTGGTTATGCTCCGATTTTAGATCCCGAACGTGCACTGGCTGCCTCCTGGGACAGGCACGTCCGGTGGGGTCTGTGGGAGGCGGGAGGTGCGCAACTATGGCCGCTTGGCACGGCACCTGGCGGGCATAGGCACTAATAAATGTCACCTGCTACTCCCTTTGGTAACAGTGCTCACAGGAGAAGGCCGGGTCACGGTGGCTGCTCTCTCCGGAAGCCGCAGGGATTGGGGTGGGCCCAGGGGGGTCCCCCTTCCTTGGGGCTGTGTCCTTGAGTCTGCAGAGAGCTCCGTGGGCCGTTGCCCAGGCAGGAGAAGCTTCCAGGCCTCGGCAGAGGAAGGCCAGTGCTCCCCTCCCCCAGCTGCCAGCTCGGGACCCTCCCAAAGGACAAGGGGTGCAGTTAAGATAGTTGCTGGCAAGTGCTGTCCTTTCCCCCCGACGCTAGCCCTCAGGGGTTCTCACCACGGAGGGGGCCCCTATGCAGGACAGGGCTGCTTTCAGCGAGACGCTCTCGACAGGCAGGTCCTGGGGAAAGAAGGACACCCCTCTGAGGGCACAGTGCAGCTGCAGTTCTAGAACCCTTCATTCTAGAACCTGCCCTTCTTTCCCAGAGCTGTCCCTCCCCACAGCCTCAGTCCCCACCCTGAGCTCTCGGTCCTGGCCACTCCCCAGCAAAGCTTTCCAAAGCCGCGAGGGGGTGCAGGTCCTGCCGGGCCTCCTGCGGCCCTGTCACCCCAGTCCCTCAGACACAAGTCAGGCCTCTGCCACGCCCCTCCCCCTCCCCCTCCCAAGAGCTGGACAGCCCCAGCTCCGTCCACAGTGCCCTGCCCTCCATGAAGGGCAACAGCAGGCGAAAGCTGGACCAGCGAACCTTCATGGCCCAGGTGCGTGAGTGCAGGGACAAGGGCTACCTGCTCTCACCCAAGAAGATCGGCTCCGGGGCCTTCTCCAAAGTCTACCTGGCCTACGCCACGCAGGAGCGCGTGCAGCACAACCCCCGGCTGGCCTCAGACCTGCGGGGCAAGCGCCACAGCATGGTGAGGCAGCCGCCGCCCCGCCCCGGGGCTCGGGGTGCCCTCCGACCCAGCCCTAGTGGGCCCCGTCCTAACCCTTCTCAGGCACCTCCCAGCCGCTCTGGCTTCTCCCAATCAATCCCACATGCTCCCTGGAGGCCCAGGCTCCCCAGGCTGACCGCTTGGAGTCCTTGGAGACCTGAGGAAGTGCCCTGACAGGAGGGGGGAAAAGGCCCGCGCTGTCTCCCAGGGCTCTGCTTACTCCCCGCCCCTCACCCCCACCAAGGTCAGCACCGTGCACAGGACCTGGGCCCTGCCCTGTCACACCCTGCCCTGGGGCTGTGGTCTGCCCACAGCCGCTCCCACCCACCCCTGCAGGTGGCCATCAAGATCGTCTCTACCGCCGAGGCCCCTGTGGAGTTGGCCCAAAAGTTCCTGCCCCGAGAGATCTCATCACTCAATGCCATGTACAAGCACCTGAATGTGGTGGGCAGAGACCTCCAGAAGTCTGACCCCATCCTGCCCACCCCCTGCGCCAGCCCTCACCACGCCTGCCGCCCACCCAGGCCTGCCTCCTTCCCCATCCCGACACCCCAATCTAGGGCACCGACAGTCCCTTCCTGGGGTGCTAGCAGGCGGGTGGGGTCCTGCAGGTGCAGCTGTACGAGACCTACCACAACAGCCAGCGTGCCTACCTGGTCCTGGAGCTGGCGGGCCGCGGCGACCTGCTGGAGCACATCAACACGGTGTCCGACCACCGCCGCTGCCCGGGGCTGGAGGAGAAGGAGGCCCACAGGCTGTTCTGGCAGCTGGTCAGCGCCGTGGCCCACTGCCACAGCTCCGGCGTCGTGCACCGGTGAGGGTGCCCGCCCAGCCCACCCCCAGCCTGTAGGGAGAGGCAGGCCCACCTGAGCCAGGCCCAGCCCCACCTGCACTTCCCCACGCAGGGACCTGAAGTGCGAGAACATCCTGCTGGATGACCAAGGCTTCCTGAAGCTGACCGGTGAGCCTCAGCCCAGCTCCCGCCTGGCCCAAGCCTGTGCTGACCCCCCACCCAGCCACTCACCTCGC